ATATGTTATTAAAAACATCGTTCTTGGGTCGTTAATACTTTTGATGTGGGTGGATTAGATTTATTTGGAATGCGAGGGGTGTATCCATCTCAAGTTTGAGAGGGTCATTCGGGGTCATTTGTAATTAAATGCATTGGAGTTGGTCAACAAAGTAATCTTAAAGGTCAACGACTTGAAATCTTGGGGGTGGTTGGAAGAGTGTTGCCAATGCATTTTTTCACTGTGTCATGTTTTTACATATTTATATTTCTTGAACCTATCGCCATGTTGTTCCTACAACACTTTGCATGCCGTGTTTCTTGGCGAGTAGTTTGCAATATTATTTTCAGCATATCTCCCAGCTATCCCTCGTAATCTGAAATGATCAACCCCTTATTGCTACAGAAAGCGGCTGTACAGACAGTATTGACAGTATTCTTGAGACTACTACCAGTTTTATAACCTCAGTTACGTGTCTGTTGGTCGACTTCTGTTAATTGATAATATACTGTGGCTATCGAGTTGCAGGGGTGGCATCGTCCAGCCGTAACGATAGTACTGAGGTTCGAGATTTAACCCATTTTGCAGATAGTGCCAAAAGTTGACAATGGCGCTCAAAACGTGGTCATTTTGATAAGTACTACGTATAAAGCGTATGAGGGCGTTCGACTATGGACGGCTGAACGAAGTCGAACCTAACGTCGTAGTAGTACTACAGATTGTTTAGCACTCTCCTTCCTACAGGCAGCCTTTAATTTTGTGGTCAATCGTCTCACTACACACGGCCATTTTCCCGTAGTTACATCTGAAAACGTACTACAAAAAGTGGGGAAAAAACGTATGTGACATCCGAAATATTTATTAATGTCAGACTTCAGTAAAAACGTAAATACGAACCATTTTATCTTGGACTATGTTTTGCAAGGTAATGTTATTGTAGTGAAATGGCGCAGTTCTATTGTTTATGAGAGTAATATCACTAATATGGACAATGTGAATACATTTCAATCATTTAATAAAGATATTATTACTAGACTAAAGCGGTCACATTATAGTTGTATTATAGGCTATATTTTGTTATGTTAATTACCAAATGCAATAATTTGCAAATAGCAGAACAGTTTTGTAATTTTGTAATTGATACTACACCGAATAATGAAAGTATGGTCTGTACACTACAAAATTTTCACAATAAAATAAATAAATTTAGAAAATTTAATAATATAATGAGTGTCAATAACACTTAATAAGTAAGCTTAATTATTATTATTGTTTTCAAACTCTGGAAAACTTATTTCTCTAAAGAATTTCTTCCTACTAGTATATTTAAGACTATCTGGTTGTCTGCACTGTATGTTGTGGCGTACTTCGTCTCCAACTTCCTTTAAAAATGAATAAAACAAAAGTGATCTTTTCTTTTTGGTGTGAAATTGCTTTACTTTGTAGTGCAAGCTTAATTAAAAGTGATTAGAGGAAAGAAGTTCATCTCTAACTGCACTAATTACGCTATGCACGCTATTTTTTTAACGGAATTTCAGATGCAATTTCTCATAAAGCATGTTGTAATTTGTCATTGGTTATATTGTTTTTGCTGAATATGGACTCCAGACATTAATGTTTTATAAACATATAAGTTTAATGATACTGTCAAATTCTTGGTGACATAGACATTTGACTTGTGCTCCGTTATATATAATCAAATACATACAGCTTTCGTTGATTTATCAATTAACGTTTTAATTTCAAATTTAAAAGACCCTGTGTTGCTCGAAGTAATCCCTGAATAAGAAAATGTAACTGATTGTAGTTCCTTGTGGTTAAATTAAAAAACATCTTGCTAGTATTTTTTGTGTGGAAAAAACGACCTTTAGTGATTTCCAAAGGAGTTAACAATGTACTCTGCATGCATTAAACATGAATAGTCTCAGTTTCAATCATTTTTTTGGGAGGGGGGTGTTGAAAGGTGTTGGCGACAATCTTGTCGTAAATCCGCTGTGAAAATAATTATTTATTTATCCGATCAGTTGTTCTACAATTCTTTTCTTTTTAAGGAGAAACGTATTACGAGAATGTTGGCAAAGTGATTACCTAGACAACTGGTTATAATGATACTCCTATGGTTCGTTAGATCATTTTCTGATCCAGATTTGCACAGAGAAACAATATAATGTTGTCGCACAAGATTTGACGTCACTATAGATGCTAAATACTATTTTATATATTCTTCATTTAAATGAGTTCAAACATACACCATGTCACACCGTGACAGGCATTCGTTTCATAGTCCAATTCAAAATATCAAACTGCCATTTATTTTATTTCTGAAATTGCATCTAAATCAGATCTTACTCATCCTTGAGTGGAGTTTGTTCAATCTTGATATTCACGTTGAATATCGCGAGACCTTGATATTTTGATTGGCAGATCGAGTTCAAAATGGCAGCCTTAACGAACGAACGAACCTCCCGAGCCAAATCTGTGCCTATGTATATTGTATACTAATATTTATTCAATTAACCAATTTACGGAGGTTTCACTATTGAATACTATAAATCTCTTCCGTGCTCTATTATAAACCTCGTGTATAATATAATTTATTCCTTTCAGATTTTCTGTATAAATTATTATCAACTTCAGTGAACCAGTAGAGCAGCAGGTAAACCAATGAAAGACCAATTCGTCTGTTCTTCTTATATGATCGATCACTTGCCAGTGAATCTAGCTGGGTCACTGCTCAATGACTAAGCACAGGTCGAAGTACTAAAAATGATACATACGGAGACTATGTACTATTTTTGTTTTTTAATGTTTTCGAATTGTTTTTGTTGTTATTGTTAGTCTTTCATTTGCACAAGCTTGTGTGTCATCCATGTAAAATTTCCTACCCTTCTATATAACAATGAATTTCTTTCTTGAACATGGGAGGGCGCTTGTGTCAGTTGTCATGTGACCTGACCGACTTTCAATCACTTTATTTTAATGGCGTCCCTGGGAATGGTATACAACGGCTTATCATATTATTAGGTATTGTGATTACTAGCACAATGCATTTCATTAACCTTTACTGTACCGTACAATCTAATCATTGGTGATCTTTTAAACAGATAAGGACATGTAAATCAATTGGCACTTGACATATTGTGGATAGTTTCCTGTCACGTCGTAAAGGGCGGTGGTCGCGTCTTCGAATTTTATGTCAACAAACAATGTATTTTATACGCGCAGTGTACGTTGCTATGAGTCCCATATCGAACAGAACTCAGCGCGACGACCACCGCCCTTTAACAATGTGTGAAAGTTAAGCCAATTTGTTTTCAATTATGTACATACGCTCACAAATCATTCCGATCAAGTCACTAGAAATGTATATATCACAGAAATAATAACAGAAGAGGGGAAATTGATAGCAAACGTATTATCTGTCGTCGACAAGTAGTTGATACCCGCCTTCAACATTTTTATTATGAATTTACAATCAGCTTGGACAAGTTCGATGTGT